TATATATATATATATATATATATATATATATATATATATAAAGCTCTCTCCACCCCGAAAAGAAATGGCCGCGCTCTAGCTGCGTTTGTTGGCTAGCCGTTAGAGTGGTGTACACCATAGATAATAAGTTCCAAAGCAAACTCGAGACAGTGAAAATGTTAACCTGGTGTCCAGTCTATCGCGGTTGTGGCGTATTTTCTTCGGGGCCTCTGAGGCTCTTCCCCGCCCGCCTCAGCTAGGTTCTCCGGTAGGGTTTCACTACGATAGCTGGGAGTAATAAACTCCCAGCGTGCCAAACTTTATGAGCTGGGCGGGGGGAAACCGTAGGCGGAATGTAACCTTCTCTCGCGTTAAAAACTCTTCAAAACGTTCTATCAAAATTCCCACTCGCCACTCGCTAGAGATAACTATTAGAGCCCCGAAGACAGCCTGCCCCAACAACGTTTCCTTTCTTTAAGTTAACCACAGCAGGGGACCTGCTATAGATTCACTGTTTGCATGAGAGCAAACAGTGTAAAACAAAGACAGTGCCGCTAGCCGGTAGAATTACCTGTACTTGACACTTACGTACACAAACCCGATGCTCATAAACACGTACATTAAACATCAGGTGTGTTACGCCGAAAGGCGGTTATACCGGCTATACAGATACAGATACAGATACAGGTACAGTGAGCTGTGCTGATAGTATATTCAAATTACTCTTACTGGGTACCTCTAAATTTGGTAACGATTACCTTAATGGAGATATCATTCATAGCGATGGGATATAGATATTATTCGTGGGGTCGTGTGGCGTAGCGGCTGAGTGCTCGACTCGGAACCTAGAGGTCCCGAGTTCGAGTCCTGACATGATACCGATCCTGTGCCCTTGGGAAAGGCACTTTACACGACTTTCCTCACTTCGCTCAGGTGAAAATGAGTATTGTATTGTCCCCTGTGTTGGTGGCGGCAAGTTTGAAAAACTTGAGTGTGCCGTCACCACTTCTTGTGATTACATGTTGGACATTATATATATATATATATGCAACACAGACAAGTTCATATTTCTGATGGTTTTAGACAAACCTTCGATTATAAAACACATCTGTACTTATATCTACATCATTACTAAGAAGCGAGAAGAAACCAAATTATCGTAATTATTAGACTATATGTCCATAGTACATAGAATTAGCGCTAGCTTGTACATTGTATATATTCATTACAAACTGTGACGTCTTTCCTGCGACCTGTACTGAACCCAGTGGGTATTTGCGTACAATAAAGGTCTTCATTCATTCATTATAAAAAAAATAGCGATGGGAGAGTGACAGGATTTCAAATCTTGCCTTTCCTGTAGGCCACTGGAGGCGCAGGTCGCAGACAGCCGGTGCAACTGTTCCCGTAGGAAGGCGCTCATCTTCGCTAACGGCATTCCGAAAGGGGAACAAGAGGAGGTGCTACAGAGGAAGAAACAAGAACTCCTGAAGTACAGAAAAAGGTGGGAATTCACGACAACACTTTGAAGACTTTTAAAGGACTTAAAATTTGAGCCTTCATCATACATTCAGAACCTTCCCCCGAATACCAGCCGACTAAGGTTGACTGAAGTTCAGGAGCAATTTGATCAAATTCAGGCCACGCCTACCTTTCGGATCGAATTGAGTTTGAGTTAAATTTGAGTCAAATTTGAATGCCAACAACGCTCCGGCGACCTAGACATTTATGGTCAAAGTAAACCAGATTATCTCTTTAGTTGTGCCAAAAAATTCACAACAAGACTGGCAATGAAAACATACATTGCCATGGCGACGGTGGTTGCTGTTAGGGTTATTGTTTGCATGGCACTGCCATGATTTCATGATTTCGAGGAAGCCTTGGTACCTGTTAAGTCTAGACAGATACAGTGCACTCCTCCCCTGAGTGTATAGTGAATGAGCCCCAGGGTCACAGAAAGTAGGGCATCCGGGGTAGAGAGGTCTTCCCAAGGGTTTCCAGGAATGTGGGCATAGATGTGGATCAGAGACATGCCTGTGGACATTCCATTCCTGTGGACAAAATGCCTGTACCATTCCTAGAATTCTTGCAAACTGCACACAATACTGTACCAATAGGCTCCTCCCTGAGACGTCGCCAAAAACTCTTATTTCCTGTCTTACACTCTAGAACGGAGTCCGCCTGGGAGACATTACTGTTTGTGAACGGATCTGCCCCACTCAGCTACCCAACCCAAGGTCTGGTCGTGGTTCCAGAGGGCACGATAAACATACCAGGTATGTGTTTGTTATGTTTACCTTTGCAGAAGGAAAACATACTGTCTGTGCTTTGATTCTTCTTCTTCTTCTGTTTCAAAGAAATAAGGCCAATGACCTGGACCAGACGTCTGTCACCATGGTAACCAGTGCTGTAGTAGCCATCATGCGGTGTTGGGTCACGTAATGTAGCAAGTTGCACGGCAGAGTTGGAGGGGTTGGTCACCATGTATATGAATGCGTTTGAGTAAGAACAGAGCAGTAGTTTGTTAGGCTGAACTATGTTATGAAGCTAGGTTATCATTTACATGCATTTACAAATGTTACCTTTCTGGTTTGAAAATGTATTACACATCTGTGCCAAGCAATGGACATGGGTTGGACTGTTTTTTTTTTAGCTTTTATCCTTACAATCTTAAGAGTCTTATCTGTTTCTTTTGATAGATTTCTAGCCACTACCAGAGTAGAAATTAGCCCAAATAGACATGTAACATTCCATGGAATTTAGTCCACTAAAGGAGTACAGTTTGCCACTCTGTTGAGGCTGATATAAATTTCTTATTGTCATGCTTATAGGTTTGGAGGTGGTGGACTACAGCGAAAGGGAAGACTACCAGGTAACGTTCAAGTTACCAGATATGCTGAGGCGTATATCTTCTAAATGAATTTTTTTATATCAGATTAGGTAACTAGTTACGTATACGGAGGTATTGTTTGCTTGTTATATTCTGTAAATTGCTTTTGGCCAATATCAGATTTTGACCGCTAAATGGCATGGTGCTGTTTACGTTTGTGCGTAGTCAGACATTTATGTCCGAATTTATGTTGAAAGGCTTACAGATAAAAGGTGATAAATTGTTTGAACCTTGTTTGAGTTTCACTGCTAATATTAGCCCACGGGCACAAATTTGCACATAGATTATTGCACTTGACCAATAAAACATTACATCAACATTAAACTTCTTATATTTCTCCGGCAGTGTTCAAAGACTAATATGGCACACCGTGTTATTTGTTTGTTCGGATATTGACTTAAAGCCAGGGCTTTGTATTATAAAAGGCCAGACCTGGTGATTGAACGATGTACAATGCAAGCAGCTATTAGGCACATAACGTATAAAAGTAGAAGCAATGCACAAAACTTATATGTCATGGTAAAAACTCGGTAGAAAACCAGATAGGATCTAGAGCGGACGTCTATCACCATGGTAACTGGTGCTGTAGCAGACACCCTGTGGTGTTGGGTTACATTATGTAGCAAGTGGCAGGACAGAGTATATATATAACATCCGTGTCCATAATATCACCAGGGTCCATAATATTGCCACCTTGAGAAACAGTGTGATTAAAGATATTTTTACTGCAACATACTTTTGGTATGCACTCCTGCACACCTCAAATGTACATACCTAGGGTATGTTGCAGTAAAAATATCTTGAAGCACACTTTTTCTCAAGGTGGCGATATTATGGACTATGGTGATATTATGGACATAGATGTTATATATGAATGTGTTTGAGTATGAAAAAACAGAGCAGTAGTATGTTTGGCTAGACCATGTTTGTTTGTTTGTTTGTTTGTTTTGTTTGCGCCTTTATTTATTGATGAAAATACACAATTCGGCCAACAGGCCGCTTTTCATTGTGGTCATCATGCAGGGGAGAGGTTCAAGGGTCAACAAATTCCTACAAAACACATAATGTATACATCAGACTTGGATACATGATTCAGAGTCTTAATAAATCTAAACAAATATTCATCATAACATGGTACAACTTATATACATACATACATAAATACATGTGAAGGTAAACATGATTTATTGGCTTTAACGTTACATTTCTAGTGTCGTATATCTATTGTGTAGTTCTTAGTTGACATTTGTACTTTCTATTGGCCAATAAAACCTGTTCTTCGTGTAAGGTCCAACTGAATACGTCACAATATGGCGTTCTTGACGTCACAGAGACGCTACCAGATGTACAGGTGGAAGGGCAGGGTACCACGTGTCTGAGCATGCGCAGTAGTTCCCTAGACCTCCTAAACCAACAGCTCCAGACTGTGGTGTATGTGAACACTGTGTACGACATAGATGCCAGAGACTTAGGTGGGTACTTTTTTCTTGCGTGTGTGTGTGGGAGGGGGGGATAATTCTTTTGCCTCCCAGATATCATTAGGCTGTATAGGATAGGATTGATTCAAATTACTACATTAAACATTACATTACACAAGTGGCCAGAATATCGACTTTAAAAATACATTTTTGCCCTCAAAGCATCATTGAATGCCATTAATATATTGTGTTTTCATATTTCTGTTTCTCAGTCCACTTCAGTTACTTGGATTTTATGGCAACATTTTCTGTCCGCATTCGCGTCAGGAGGTCACCACGTCTTTATGATCCTGGGAAAGGTTTTTGTTTTATTTCATTTTACATGATTTTGTATCATCTCTCTCTCTTTCTATCTCTCTTTTTCTCTCTCTCTTTGTGTGTTCGTGTGTCTGTTTACCACTGTATTTATTTATAGTGGGTATTTGACTGCAGTAGAGTGACAGGGTGGCTACCACAGATTGACCTTAGGGTCAAGTTGGAAGGAAGTGATGGCTTTACAGAAGCCAGTAGCCTACTAAGGGCATATCTATACAGTAAATCAAGTTAAGTCAAGTCCCTAATTGACAAAAATCAAATGCCGGAGACTCTCTTATACAAAATTGGATCGACCAGGTAAGGTCTCAACAATGAAGACAATCCTCGTCTGTGTTTTCTCTCAGATAGCGACATCAACAATAACTATCCCCATCTAGCCTCCATAGCATGCCAAAAACTGGGGGGTTTGGTGGTCTTCATGGTCTTTGGAAGCTTTTATGTGCTATTTAGCATATAGACAACATAGCCAGCCTGGTTGAATTACCCCCGTTTAGAACTGGGCTAATCAGAAAACAACCGAAGACCACCAAATCCCCAGTTCTATAAGCCTGCTACGGAGGCTAATCAGAAAACAGCCGAAGACCACCAAACCCCCAGTTCTATAAGCCTGCTACGGAGGCTAATCAGAAAACAGCCGAAGACCAGCAAACCCCCAGTTCTATAGGCCTGCTACGGAGGCTAATCCCCATCTGTGTTCTTACTTAGATAACGACATCAACAAAAAGGTGACTATAATCACCAAGACGTTCCTGAGGTACCCTTCCGTCAGAGCGCTGCTGAACAGTACCCGGGAGTTCTACCCCAAGATGCGGGTAGTTGTCGCGGACGACAGCCGCCCTGTGGAAGACCTCCAGGCGGAAAACGTCGACCATTACGTCATGCCTTTTGGAGCGGTAAGCTGTTCGGGTTGCCGTGTGTGCTTGTTATATTTACCTTCGCATTTACCTTCATATTGTTTTTGCTCTGTTTCTTCTCCTTCTCCAAACAAATATGCTTAAGGTCATTTTTTGTGCCATGTTTTTCTTTTGTAATTTTGAAAATCAGAATTTGAAAAGAAAGAACTTCAAAAGACATGCCTAAGGTCAATGGATCTGGAACAGACATGTCACTATGGTACTGTAGCAGACACCCTGTGGTGTTGGATTACATTATGTAGCAGGACACAGCTAGCTATAGAGGAGCTGGTCACCATATAGTATATGAGATTGTAGTTGTAGAATAGCTAGCAAAGGTCTCTAAGTCTAACCCACTCTTGAAACCCACACTCACAAAAGTGTAGTTTTGTACTCTTGTAGATGCCATACTTTGTACCCTGTACAATCACAATGTTTCAGAGATCTGATTTGAAACATATTCCTTGTTTTGCAGGGTTGGTTTGCTGGCAGGAATCTCGCCTTGTCACAAGTGACCACGGCCTACTTCCTCTGGGTTGACGACGACTACGTGTTCACCAAGGACACGAAGTTGGAGAATTTTGTGGAGGTTCTTGACAACACAAATATGGATTTGGTAAGAACGTCAGTCTTTTTATAGATATTCTAGGAATGATGGAGTGCGGGAACTCGGAAATTGGACGTCCGAAAAAGGATCACGGTCATTTTTAGTTAATCTTTTTCCTGGGTAAACTTAACTGGGAGGTACAGAATCCAAAGAGTATGACTTTTTCTAAACTCAAAAACCTGTCCAGCCCTGAAATTGCAATTGGCTGGACTGATCCATTGGAAAACGGGGTGAATCCTGGCGTCATATCAATACTTTGACAGTACATGTAGTTGAACTTGAAGTCCCACTTTTTGTATGAACCAAACCTGATAATCCCGGATCTGCAATGGAGGTAAAGGCTTGAGGTAACTTTGTTCTCAAAAGTGACAGTTTTCGTATGGGTATACTGCATACAAATGTGTTTAAAGTTAAAATTTTTGGTCCAACACAAAAATTCTCTCACCTAGAGCTTTCGACCGGTCACTCTGGTCTTCCTCAGTAGACTGACCCAGTGAAGCTTGTCACGTGGCTTCTTTGACGTGTGACGTCAAGCCTCACTGGGTCATTCTACTGAGGAAGACCAGAGTGACTGGTCGAAAGCTCTAGGTGAGAGAAGTTTTGTGTTGGACAAAAAGTTTTAACTTTAAACATGTAACTACCAACACAGGATGGCTTTCATGATAGTACATACAAATGTATTTAGCTGGAAAGTTAATTTACTGGTCCCTCCCTTGCAGGTATCTGGTAGTGTTGGGAACAGGAAGCTGATGTTCTCCAAACTGTCCATCCTGCCCGGAGACGAACATGGCGACTGTCTGTTCCAGGGCAGCGGACATTACGGCACCGTCCCCGGCTACCCACACTGCTATATAACCCCGAAGGTCTGTATCTGTATAGCTGGTATAGTCGTCATTCTCCGTATCACACAAGGTTCTGTACCTGTAACTGAATCTGCATAGCCGATATAACAGCCTATCTGCGTATAACACCAACCTCTACCACTTTGCCGCGACTTTCTTATTTTGATAGTTTAATGTTGTGTAATATTTGAAGTTTTGTATTTTTATGATAGTGCTACTTCAAACAGCAAAGTTTAGATTAATAAAGTATTCATTCATTGAAGGTCACCAACTTCTACATGGGAAGAACGGACGCAGTTCGAGCTGTGGGGTTCGATCCAACCTACTCTCGCTATGGCCACACAGGTGAGGAATATCTATGTTTACCTTCACAGCATGGAAACTTTTTGGTGAAGAAAAAGAAGCAGAGCAATCAGACCAGACGACTGTCACCATGGTAACTGATGCGAAAGCAGACTCCTTCTTGTGTTGGGTTACATTATGTAGCCAGTGGCAGGACAGGACTGGATGAACTAGTCACCATATACATGGAAATGTTTGAGTAAGCATAAACAGAGCAACACTTTGTTAGGCTAGACCAAGTGAACGCAAACATGATACAATTGCTTTGCATATTTTACATTTCTTGTCTGTGTACATTTTGCTACAGAGTTCTTTGTGGATGCAATGGGACGGTTACGGATGGCGGCTTGTGAGGGTGTGCGGATAGACCACAGGTCGGCACGAAACAAGGACTACAACAAGTTTCGTAGGGGAGGAGGCGTATCCGGAAGCTATGGGAATATCATCAGGACGAGACAGTACTTTAAAGATAACCTACACTGCTGGCTTAGATAGATCATGATATGATTTAGAGTATACTTCCATGTAATAAACTATATATATATGTGTGTGTGTGGAGGTAGAAAAAGAGTGTTTTCTACGTCTATGATCTGTGCAATTGGGTTTTATAATCGGAGCTGAATCTGTTGCCATCTCGTTGCATTATTATGCTTATACTGTATACTGTAACCTCATAAACTACTAGCTTAGGTTTGGGCTTTGGCTATTTTGACGCGTTTTTGGCCACTTTCTTTTATTATTGTTACACTGGTATCTTTTTTTTTTGCCAACCACCGGTAGCGTACTGGATATTGGCTTGCCAATAATACTACATTGTATCTTGCCAATTGGATACTGTCTTTCAGCCACCAAAAAAAATCTTCTTGGATATTGGTAACCTCAAAGAGTGTACACTCTTCAATTGTGCAAAGGAGGTCCTTATTTAAATAGATTATGTTTAACAATGTCCACCTTCCTTTAGCTTCCAAATAGGGGAATATGAAATTTCAGACATTTACCAATATGGAATTATGGTGGTTTCTCATTTATTATGAGAATTATGCAAATCAGATAATGAAATTATGAGAATTAAGTTATGAGAATTAGATTATGCAAATTAGGTCGTCATTTGCATAACGTTTATCTATCGATGTTCCTATCGTTTCTCAAGTTACATATGCCACATGTTTGAACAGTGTAGGTATTATTCTCGTTGATATATACATATAGTATCGTTTACAAACTTGCCACATATCATAGCCACATATCATATCCGTTACAAATGTGGCAAAATAAAGTTAATTCATCGATCAATTGATAGATTAATTGATTGATTGAACAGTCTTTTTGCAATATTAGAGAAAGTCTATAAATCTGCTGCGTTTTAATACTGAACGAGATTGTGCCATATACTGCATTACTATAAGGACACGCGAGAGGGCGCATACAACACGACAGGGCACTTCCATCCAGTCTTGGAGGCCATTTCGTTGGGTCAAGACCAATCCACTCAAAGCTTATCAATATAATAAGTGATACTTTCCACAACCGCCCCTGCTTAATACAAACAAATAATGGTGGAAACAACTACTGAGTAAGAGGTAGGTGTGATACAAGGAAGGGGCGTTCAAGAAAATATGGACAGAATATGTGGTGTGTATGTGTGTGTGTGTTTGTGTGTGTGCCCGTGTGTGTGTATGTGTATGTGTGTATGTTTGTGTGTGTGTGTTTGTGTGTGTGTTGTGTGTGTGTGTGTGTGTGTGTGCATGCGTGCGTGTGTGCGTGGCGGTGCGTGTGTGCGCGTGCTTGTGTGAGTGTGTCAGTTTGTGATACTGGTACTGTACATTAGGATACAGTATATCTCTCCCAGTGTCCGAAATAACCTTGTGATACCAAACTTTTCTTTGTCAATTAGGGACCTCTAAATAGAGTAGAAATGCACAGTCACAGATCTGGTCTAAAGCCGCCATGACGACCGCATCACATCAGCATTTTCTGCCTCCCCACTGGGAAAACTGTGGTCTGTATTTTCCGGTTCGTTATCCACATGTCCCGTCCTTTCATCCGGGTTACTCGCGGGGTGGATGTCCCGGATGGAAATGATTTGTCTCGCTCATATACTCAAGATGTTTTGCCAGGAGGATCTGTATGAGGAGGGCTTGGGGGTTGTGATTACGAATGACGCAAAATTCTCATCGCCGATTACGACTTTACGCTTTGCAGCTAATGCACTATTACGAATTACGTTGAATTTTGTGGAGGCGGCCGACGGAATACGAAGAATAAGAAAGCCTGATTACGCCTTACGAAAAATGGCATGCAGGCCCCTTTCCAGGTGTTGAGAGAAGATCATTCTTTCTTGTAGTGTACAGTACTTTACTCAGGTCCAAATGAGTGCCTAGATACTTAAATCAAGACGTTCTCTGGAATGTGACGTAAAGCCAGGGGTCCCGTGTTTGAGGAGAGCCACGCCTATCTATGACATTTACTGATACTTGGTCCTTTGTATTGCATTCCAGGTTACACTTCACATTTTCGTTTGCCTGTCACTTTTAGACTAGCATCTGGAAGATATATGTCGTTGCAATGAACTTGCATCTATTATCACAGATATACGAATCTACCATTTAACCCAAACTGAATTCAAAGAATTCCGCCTTCACGCCAAATGAATTGAGTCGCACGTCAACAAGTTAAAACATTCCTTTTCGGTGTGATGAAAACGCGCTGGCCGGTTTTTGAAGCCATGCAGTTGAGCACCGCGGAGTGATATATATGCCTCACACCTGACTTGGAGACATCAAACCCCGTAAAATAGTTCTGTCACAGTATGGAGCACAAGAAGTTCAGTCAGGGGCACTTGAGTACAAATTGCTCTTCACATGTGGGCACGAAGTTGGTGGATATTCCCACTCAATCACACACCCTTCCCCGCTGGCTTTAGAACGCCTGAAGGCGCAGAGGTTATGTCAAGGTCACGCGAACTTCATGACCTTGCAATTAGCCCCTCGCACCTGGTGGCCGCCATGTTGGATTCGAACAGGCGACCGTGAAACCAGAACCAGGCCGCTCATTCGGGAACTCCGAGGATTCTGGGAAAATTGATTCTTCACGGAAGTTTGATGGTGAACCTTGATAATCATGTTTACGTGTTGAACTCGACTTGACCGTTTAAGTGATAAATGATTCCATTTTATTATTGAGTCTTTGAGAAGTGAATGAAACCTTAAGAAATTGGTTCTAAAACGTGGCCACCGAGCTTCAATAACGTCTCGCAAGTTAAGCTGTGAACATTATTGCGACAGGTGCACATGGTACAATGTATTGCAACGACTGCTGACCATAGTACAAAAAGGAAAAGGGATAAATGTAATCTAGCATCCTAGTTACTGAAACATCAAGTGCTAGATTTGTATGAATCCCGCCAGTTGGATCACTGCCCTGCCGCGACAGTCTCGCCCGAGTAGGTCCAAGATAAACCGTACACCAGCACTTCATTAAAGAGGCCAAAGGTCCCCCTCCTCCTCACAACGATAGACATCTTCCTGTCTCTAATCTCGCAGAGAAACTCAGACACCATTTCATTACTTGATTAACCCTTCTGACCTGTTCAACACAAAACAAGCTTATCGTCAAGAATGTGCGAGGCGGAGAAAATGTCTGTTCGGGGCTTAAAGTCGTCGCCTGTATTAGGGAATCTACGATTTGTTCTTTCACCATTATTAGACTGTGTCTATAGATAAAGCTCAGAAGACAAGGCCTTCTAGTCTGACTACGCCGTATAAGTCCTGGCTTAGACGCAAACGGATTAAGTCTAATCTGAGAGGAATTTGATGAATGATGAAGGAAAAGTGTTTGATGTTTGAAACTCGTTAAAGTGTAGAATATTTGCCCACAAGGGTTTAGGGGTGAAAATTATCACCACTGAAATCACTTTTCTTTAATCTTGCACATAGCTGCTGAACTCCAGAATAACAAGTAGATTTTCAATTCGACTTTGTTGTTGTCAAGATTTGCTCCTTCCTTT